CAGCCTAAATTTATCAAGTCACTCGCATCAAAGCAAAGTTTTCTTGAACTTTAAGATTTGAATATTAAAAGTTATACTGATAAGACCAGCAAAACTTTCACAATACTATATATTTTATTATATACAGTATTACGAGAGCAACTAGCAATAATTATTCGCAATAAAATATGTATGCGAAAAATATAGTTGAAATAAAGTTTTAGCTAATTAAAACTGTGCTAAAAAAGTACCCTAAAAATTTTTTTCTCTCTCACTAAGGTAAGAATGTAATTTGTTGGGACTGAAAACGAGGAGGAGAGCGAAGGACGAAGGATTGAAGGTCATAGATGGAGTGACAGTGAGGGTAGTGATCTCAGGAGCTTTGAAAATTGAACCTTAAGTAGACCGAGGGCGAGCTCTACTCGTGATATCTTTAGATGAGATTCCGGATAGTTTGGGAAAGCAGGACGCGTCCTTGTCGACTTCGCTGAGCGTTTGAAGAGCATATTAAAAGTACAGTATGATAGAGAAAAAATTGTAATTTTTACTTTTCAAGTTGCAATCGTATCATATCTATATATATCAAATTTTAGATTAAAAATTAGAAAACAACTATATTTTTGCAGTCTGCAAACTTAATAATATCTAAGATCTTTACCAATTTGGTGAATATCTTTATGCACAAAAGTGTTCTTTTATATATAAAATAAAATTACACTTTTGAAACCTGTTGGAATTGATTAAAAAAAAATTAATTTTAAGTAAATATATAAAATTAAAATAACTTTGGTTAATTATAATAATTAATTGCTTATTTAATGTATTTTAATTAATTAGGATGCATTGAGTATAAATTAATTAATCTCAATGCATTCTATTTTAGCGCCCCGTTCAATATTCAGCTATTTTAAATTGTAAATTTTTCTGGTTTCTTCTTTTTTAATTAGATCACAGTGCTTTTCTCTTTTGCATTTTTTAGCAAGAATCCACAAAGTTAGATTGCAACGTGTTAAAAAATTACATATAAAAAAAGTTCGATGCAACAACGACATAAGGTTTATTTCATAGAATCGTGCGATTTGTTCTATGCGTTTCTGTAAGCGTTTCTGTCGTATACGATACTGTGTGGACTGTGGAAGACGACGCGTCGGCATCCAAAGTCGTTATTCACACCGCGGGGCGCAAGAGGATTTTCGTGTTTCATGTGAACGCCAGCAGAGGTGGCGCAGACACGTTCATTCCAATTAATGCGACGCGATAAATCCTGCGAACCGGTCCGCCGACGCTCGTGGGCACCCGACACGTCCACGATCAGAAAATCGTCCGCTGCCGACCGGATGACGGCCTCTCTTGTTCAACGACAAGAAGGGGCGGATCGTCAATCAAACGGATGGAGAAGATACGCGAAACTGCAAAGTGATTCGTACCGACACCATTTATCGCGAAGAATGTCCGAGGAAAGGAAAGAAATATTCCGTGTGCGTTCTTTTCGAAACAAAATGGCTTCTCGTCAATACAAAGAACTATGTTCTACCATAGCGTTTAGAAAATATTTTATTTTCAAAAAAACGATAGGACTAGAGTTCCCACTCTTGCAAGGAAAAAAATAACCGCTGTTAATTAATCGTATTTTGTGAAAAAAGTAATCGTTATTATAAGATTCTTTATTTTTTTATTTATGTAATTTGTATATTCTCGAACAAATAAAATCAGCAATATTTCGGTCGTGTATGCTTTATAATTAAATAAAATAAAATGTATTAGAGTCCTAAATATATAAGAAGTACAATGCGTATAAAATATGAACGAAAGTTTTTAGAGTTCCGCTGTTGTCAGAAAAGTTTCGGAGACGGCCAGGGCCATTTATAGCAACGCTTCATATTTTCGGTGTGCTTGAGAATGCTCTTCAAAGCAGAGAATTTACGGAAGTTGCTGAGATTGCGGAAAGGGTCACCAAGAAGTGGTATGTTGAAAACGAAATTTATCGCTTCCAACTGCATACGGTTATTTTTTGAAAACAAAAAGCCACCGCGGTGGTTGAATACAATGCCGCTCATATATTAATGATATAGCTATAGATAATCTTTGCAAATTTATGAAAAAACAATGTTCAATCAAAAAAATTGGTATTTTCGCGCACGTGTGTTACACATCACGAGATTAATAAAACACGAAAATAATAAACCAGTCAAATATAAAACAAATAAAGTAAACAGATAAAGTAAAGTATAAAAATGATAAAGTCTGCTCGGAAAATCGCTTTCTACATTTCTAGAAAAAGTTAATATCTTAACTTCTTCTCTATCGCCGATAGATGACAAATCAATATCATTTTCTTAACAGCAACCCATTATTATTTTCTAGCTGCACTGAGATGGCCTACATTTCACTATCGATCTTCTCATCCTACTTCGTGAAAGTGGACAAATAAAAGTAATGGAAGTGTCTTCTTCGTGCATCTCAACAAAAAATCTTCATCTTTCCTCCGAAATACGATTGCTTTCGATAAGGAAAAACTTGGGGTTATTAAAAATTTAATTAAACTAAATGTAGAATAAGATTATGCCAAGCTTACGAAAAAGTTAACACCTTCAGGTATAATAATATCCACGTAGTAAAATTACTTAGCGAGCATATATGTGTGTACGGTGTTAAAATAATTCTGTTAAATTAAAATTAACATAGTTCTGTTTACGTCAAATTACAAAACTTAATTAGGAAGATAACTTTAAAATTAAAAAAAGTTGTGGCGTTTGTGTTTAAGAATTTCAAGTAATTCGATGTTCCTACAACGAAAGATTAAGAGGGTCTAATTTCATATAATTAGTACTTTTTTATTTGTATTGATAAATATAATTAATTTAGCATTTTATCAAACTAAATCCATTTTTTTTTACTCTCATGTCAGATTCGTCCACTGAATCTAGATCTTTTAATTAAGCCCGCTAGACAAAGGCCGGCAAGGTACTGGAAACTTGATTAAAGTTGAACATTGTTCTGGAAAATCTTAGAAAGCTTTGGCAGACTTTGAGCAATTTCACGACGACAACAAATGAGAAACTTCCGCAAGGCGAAAAATTGGAACAATGAGCTAAGCGCTTGTTGAAAATCTAAACATGGCTAAGCAAACCCGGTTATGTAACTTATTGTCAGCCTCGCTAAGATTGCTTGCTATAATAAAGTAGCAAGTGAGGAGAGATCGCGTAATGCTTCCTGCCAGTGCAATACGCCGGTAATGAAGATGTTTAATGAGGGTTTCACCTTTCAGGAGTCTATTTCGACGCAAATTACTAGCATATGCAATTTTGTATTGTCAAACTACCCGTATAGTAGTTATTTGAGCCTTTAGTTAATTTTTCTTTTACTCTTGTCCGCGAGAAATAAAAGTATGTTTAAAATATTTAATTTTTAATTGTAAGGACCGCTCTGTATCTTAAGTGATCTTCCTAAATTTTTTCCGACTATTTACAATTAATACTATGCTGATTATTACACCGGCACACAAAAAAAAAAAGTGGTTTGTGCATTTGACCGGACCCATCTACGGACATGTTTTTCGACCCGCTGAATCCGAATTTGAGGTCCGTTGGGCTCGGTCAGGTCCCAGATTTTAGTAAAATGCAAAAAACCCCCCAAAAATAT